GGCTCTCTTAATACCCTCAGTGTAATTGGATGCTTGTATGCTATCTCCTTGAAAAGCCTGCTTGTTAATTCTTAAGGGGAAAGATAGTCAGGATAGTCTACTATCTGATACTACAAGGCCACATGAACCAGTTGCTTCTGCAAGTTTTTTAAATGGCTATGAAAATGTTACCTAAAGTCTTTAAGGTTATAAATACGTTTTATATTTTTATACTTGCTGGTGACATCAAAAATACTAAGTGAAATAATCAAGGAAAAATATTTCTCAAGTAAAGATCAAATGATCTAATTTAACAGAGCAGCTCAATTTATCTTAGTCTCATCTAACTAAGAGTACATAATAAACATTAATGAAAGTGTTAAGGATTTCTACTAAATCAGAGACATTAAATTTTTTAAGTAGTTGACTTTCTGCAACCTCAGTTTGTATGAAGGTTGAGGTGTTCCATAACCTTATTAACAGAGTTCTATGCTCTTCAGATCCAGAGACGCTAATTTCAATATTACTTACCTTAAAATACTGAAGCTTACTGGTTATTTCATATATACATTAGTATAGACTTGAACTCTATAGTTTGTGATTTATTTTTCATTTATGTCTTTAATCTCTTTGCATACTACTACATGTACACCACTCATTGCACACTTTGAAATCTTGTTTTCCTCTAAATCATCACTTGTTCTAGTACACTGCAGATTTTTCATGTATCAGATTATGGTATCTTTGCAGATGACAGTATGTGGCTATTTATACAATTTACATATGTAGATTTATACTTGTCGATATATTCAGGTATATTTTCATATAATAATTTACAAATTAAAAAAATATATAACTTTTTTAAAAGGTTAATGTGTTCCATTTACTTCCTTTTTTTTCTTGATTTAACATTCACATATGAGAATGCCCAACTTTTCCTGTACTTGTTCCTTGCCTAGAAGTTTGAGTATGAAGTCGTCAGAGTAAAGAAAGCACTTCAAAGTTACAGGCTATCGAAAATCTTTTCCAAGTCAGCAGTTTGCACCTAAATAAAAGCGGAGGCCAGCCAAGTTCGCATTAACACTTTTATGTTTCTTGTACCAGATCACTAGGGAGAATGACTGCTTGTGAGAAAGGTCCATAAACTTACCAAGTTCAAACTTGTAGCAGCTCCAGAATAGAAATTCAAATACCAGATCAGAGTTCAACACATTCACTTTGCATGAAATACCATGCAAACCTATACTGAAGACACTAGCTGTATATTAAAAAGTATTTCCTTTCTTAATACAGCACATATAACATGACACATTTTAAATCAGCACAAGATTATAGCTCTTGGAAATGGAGAAACTAGACATACTATGCTGAATAATAATTACATACCTGGAAGTATCGATAAAAAATGAAGTTTAAAATAATTGTGAGAGTGCTAGCAGTTATAGTCAATGTAACTAACATAAATCAATGCAATGAAACAGTATTAAAAGGCGAAAGTGCCATGGAACCTCAGTATTTTTCAGAAAATGCTCTCCAAACTGCTTCATGTAAATGAACTGGACTTGATCAAGGAGAAAGATGGAAAAGCAGTTCATGATCATGGAAAATTGTGTGTAAAAAATAATTACAGCTCTGAATTTTCCTTTCTCCTAGGCTTGTCTAATTAATAATGACTTAATATGAGCAAGAGGGAAATGAAGATTCAAACTCTGGCAGATTTTAAACAAAATTATGACACATATAAGGAGCTTTATAGTCGTATGTGCCAATTTCATTATTACTCATCAGAAAAGTGGGCCCAACATTCACTTCCTTTGCCAGAGACAAAGCCACAGAGAAAAAAATATATATAGTGAAGGAGTTTCCAACCTATCTCAGAACAGATGTTTAAAGCTGTGCCATTTCTCTTCATTTACTGCAGATGAATACAGTTTACATCATTTAAGTGACTTTTAGATAGCTACAATTAAGACAAAACCCATCCTTGGTGACTTAGTGATTAACTGGATACATGGAAGTAAACGGTAACAGTCATCTTAAACAACGTCTCATACAGTTCTCCTATAACAGCTGTTGGGGCATAACACTGAATCACTGAGGTTTGGACCTCTGGACATCAAAGTAGTCTCAACTGCTGCAGGTTTCCCAGCACCACACACAGTCACAATATGAATTTCTCTGAGGATGGAGACTCCACCACCTCTCTAGGCAACATGTTTCAGCGCTCGTTCACCCTCACATTTAAAACCCTTTTCTGATGCTTAAGTAGAATTTTGGTATTTCAATTATTGCCTATTCCCTCTTGCCTTTTGGTTGGGCAGCCTGGTGAAGAGTCAGGCTCCACTCTATTGACTCCTCCTATCAGGCATTTGGAAGATTCTCCCGATAAGACAAGACTTCCTCCTGATACTTCTCAAGGCTAAATACTCAAGCTCTCTTGACCTCTCTTTGTATAACAGATGTTCCCAGTCCTTTGCCACCTTCATGGCCTTTTGCTGGATTCACTCCAATATGTCCATGTATTTCTTATACTGAGGGGCCCAAAACCAGACAGCGCTCCAGAACTGGACACAGTGATCTCAGTGTGACCTGACCAGAGCTGAGCAGAGGGGAGGGATCACATCCCTCAACCTGCTGGCAACACTCCTCCCAGTGCGGTTCAAGACGTTGCTGGCCGCCTTTGCCACAAGGGCCTACTGCTGGTTTGTGGCCAACTTCTTGTCCACCAAGCTCCTTTCTGAACATTTTTTTCCAGCTGATCAGGCCCAACCCCATATTACCGCATGAAGTTTTTCCTTCCAGGTGCAGGACTTCACATTTTCCTTTGTTGAATACTCTAAGAGCCCTTTAGAAGTTTTGTTTTTTATCAATCATTTCAGCCTCACTAGGCCACAAACAATGGTCTGGTTTGATATTAGTGGCTCCTCTATGCCTTGATATTGCATAAGCTAACAAGCAAGGCTGATAAGGGCCCTAAAGAGTTCATCTGGTGTCAAATAAACCAAAGACACTGAAAAGAAAACATGGGAAGTGTATGGCACAAAAAATACAAATTTAATTCACACTGAGGAAATAAAAAAAAAAAATCACTGAGGGAATCAAAGAATTCAGGGAGAGGGGAAAAGAGAGATTAACAGGTTTCGTTAAACCCTGGGACACTTCTCTCTGACACTTTCGAGGGAGCCATTTTAAGCCACTGGTTATGCATTAGATGTGGAGCTTGGGACATATTTCCACGTTGATTCATGTCTTGCTCAATGCAGATTCACAGTGGTATGGGCCTGCTAAGCAGCTTGGCCTCACTGCACGCACAGTGAAATGATACACTTGTAGCAGGAACAATCTGACCTGGCTACTTATGTGCGCACATAAGTTAAATCCATGTGGGCAATCACTCACAGAAAAACAGCTGCTCTTTTTCCATACCAAATCAGTAACACTGTATTTTGGCACTACTTTACGCTCATCTTTTATAGTTAAGAACCCTTTCTGATGTTTCTATGTGATGAAAAATCAACCAAATAAAAACGATTTTCTCGTACATAAAACCTCAAGAACAAAAAACAAAAAACAACAACAACAAAAAAAAACACTGTGAGCGACAAAAAACTCTTACCAGTTTGATATCTGCTCATTTTGTACAGGGTATGGTTAGAAAAATACAGTCTAAAAATGTAGTTCAGTACAATTTATATTTGAATAGGCATATTCCCTAATATTAAATTCTAGAATTTCATAGGTTATGTGATCATTTAATTCCAAGGTCTCATTTCTGACAGAGTTATAATGTTCTTATAAGAAGTAATATTTTAGAAAATGTCTTTCATTTATCTCTGATTTTGGAGCCAGAAGTGGTGTTAATTATATATTAAAGTGATTCAAAGAGTATAAGGTAATTTCACTACACTTATTTTAAATTAAAAAGTATTAATAATTATACTCACCCACAGGAAACCCCACTGAATTTAAATGCAAGTATAATAGAAGCTGTATCTTAAATTCTGAAAGGTTTACAGTAGTGAAGTGGAAGTGTTAGTTCCTTTGAACTAGTGGCTGCCTGATCACAATAAATCTCTTTGAGGCACCTGCCAACCTTGACAGACACTTTTATCTCTGTGTAAAAGACACTTGGCCATCTCAAAAAATTACCTGAATAGAAATGAGCAACTCGCCAGATAACATCAGCTGAAAAAAGTCAGAAGCTGAATCCAGCTCAGACCCACTGTGATGTTTGGGTAAGAGAGTGTTTCGACTCAAGAGAACTTCCTTATCATGCACAGCAGTTCGGTCTGTCCACTTCATAGGTTCCAATACAGCATTGCCAACATCTTGCAAGGCAGAACTTAAAAGCAGGATAACTGGTATGAGGAGACAAATGCCTTCAACTAACATTTCAAGAATCTGTGCTTTCACAGATGGGGTTTCTCCAGATAAATAAGGTGAGATAACTCATCACTAGAAGGTTCCAAAAATGAGAATTTTTCTGGGGTTTCAACCAACAGGTCTAGACCTGAAGTTTTTGTGGAGAGAAAATGCAAATGAAGAACACTTCACTGGATTATTTTTGATAATAGTTTTAGTCTCGTGTGAATTTATCAATAAATGTCAATAAATTCTGAACTCAGAATTACTACTTACTATGTGGTTTGAAAGAAGTTCCTGAAATACACTAGTTAGCTGAAAATCTAAGGAAGTACCCTCACGTATTAAACAATGGATCTCCATAAATGGATCATACAGTTTTGATTCTAGTGATTGTTAAATTTCCCCTGCTGTCAACTGCTCAATAGTAGTTATTTCTTCATCAAAAATTATGGTTCTAAAGAGATGGCTTCTGAAGGAAAAATAGCCACACAGCCCAAATTAAAACATGGAAAATGAGTATCTGATTGTTGTGAAAACAAGGGTAGAACAATTCTCCTATCAGAGATGCATGCGTATTTCCTGTAGTAGGATGCAAGGATGACAGCTCTGTGATCTCCACTGATGATATTATTTTGCTAGAGGAAGAAAATAAATACCCAGAAGTGATAGCTGTAGCTCCCATTAGTATATACCAGCTGGTTAATATCTCCGAGTTCTTCCAACATGGCTCGGTAAATGCGGAATTTGCTACGCAGAACTTGATCTAAGAATTCACCAGAGGGTTTCAATCCAGTCACAGAACATGTTGCACACATTTGGCTTAATTCACTTAAAGAATCAGCAGACTGTGATGTGATGTTTGTGAGTCTCTGGTTGATGGATGGAGCAGTAATTGCCAGATATTCACTAGGAAGAGATGTTTGCATCTGAATTGTGTGCACAGCTAATGAACTAAGAAAAGATATCTGCCTCAAAGTAAATGTCTTAGTATGGGAATGAGGAGATATTGAAGAGCTTGGTAGTCTCCGGTCCTCTTCTGATACTGAAAATACATCTGACAATTTTCCAAGACACTTTTGAAGCAACTTAGAACTGAAGCTGTGCTTATAGAAGTAGTTGTAAACTGTAATCCGGTGGAGAGTAATGAGAGACTATTTAATTTTTTTTTCAGATCCTGGTACGCTACTAATTACTGAACTCATGTCTGTGGCAGATAAAGCAACAGTCTGGTGCAGCTGTAATGCTGAAACTTGTGTAGGGGAAGGAGAAAGCGCCATTAAGGAACTAGTGATAAATGAGGCTGTATCATAATTATCCTAGCAAAAAACTACTGACATTAGCTCTATGGAAGTAGCAGTAGTCACATATGGTACGGGTGTGATATTAGGCTTCATTGTTACTGAGACCTGAACAGCAGAACTGTGAAAACAGAACATCTGTTGAGGTTGCTACCCGGAATACGTCTGAAGACTCTCCAATTGCAATCAGTCCTCCTAGTCCATAGCTCAAGTTAGCCAAGTTTTAGTTAGAAGTATCTCACAGCTGAAAACACCTGCTTTTTTCAGTCCTTTAAGGATAAATAATAATAGAATTACGAGAAAAGAAAAAGTGAAAAACTGCAACTGTGGGCTAAATTTGTAGCGATCAATAGGGCCACTAATACCTCATTCAGTCTTACCAAGATATTACAGAGCAGGCAAATACAATTCTGTAAATCATATTCTTAATATGAAGAGGAGTTTTAAAGTAGAGGATTTTTAGCAACTTCAAGAGCTGGGTAAAGGCAAGCCCTCCTATTATTCACAGTCCATATAGGGGCCAGCATCAGAACAAACAGCACAACTCAAAACAGAAGTTTTCTTTTCTTTTTACATCAAATTGCTTCTGTGAATCTATATAAAATGAACAAATTAGAAATCTTTTCCATTGAGAACACCAGTGAGCTAGCCGCATGCTATGCTGCGAGAGATAACTGCATTTCTTTAAATGTCATTACCCACATCAAGAAGCAATATTACCTATTAAGAAAACAGTAAAAGCTGAGGCATATCCATAAAGATTAGGCTGTACAGAAATCAAATGTTCGGTAGAGTAGACTTCTTTATATAAACTCAGGAGCTCTGGCTTATTTCTTATACAAATAATTGCCTTAAAAGAACACATAGACAAAATTGAAATAAAGTATTAGAAGGTGCTTTATATTATGACTGTAAAAATTTGCATTAGTAAAATGGAAAGGGCATAATAAAGATGCAGCCTTCCAAACAAACTGCTGTACTTCTATTCATGTTGGCATTCTTTAAAGATGTTAAAAATAACAGAATAGACTTTTTGTTTTCTTTTGCTTTCCCCAATCTTGACTATAAACAGTTAAAATGACAAAGATCTTGGGAGAGTTGTTGCAGATATTTTTAGTGAGAAACATTCAGATGCACAGAAAAGGAAGCACTCAAAAGATGTGAGCTAGGAAAGAAAAATGAAAGTCCCCATGGAGTAAGGCAAATTATCTGCCTGCTGCTGACTAGCCAAGGAAGAAGGAAAGATTGACATTAGGGTCAGAGAGAGCTGAACACAATATGAGGCATATAAAATTCACACTGTGCAAAGCAAACTGAAAATGAAGCTAAGAGAAAGTGTAGCTTTCCTTACTGCAAAGGTAAGATGCTGAAGAAAGCTATTATTGAGACAAAAGAATAATTTACCTGTTACATTTAAACACAGAATTAAGAAAGGTTGGGAGATAAAATTCACATGAACAGAAAGAAGTAAAAAAGACAGAACACACTTTAAATATTCTTACCATTGAAAAAGTACTAACAAGGAAAGCAGTTTGATGCATGCATTACTCAAAAGCTTGTTTTTCTTACCTTGAGACACGTGTCCTGTATGAAATTCAGAAGTAGCCTGTTCAGACCAAAGTTCCTCAGACACAGATAGGGCTGATGAAAGGCCATCATCTAAAATCCCAGTAGGAAGCACTTCAGCCATTTCAGTGACAGTTTGCTTGCTTTGGGGGATAGCAGGTAAACAGGTGATATTGTTTATTCCATCAATGCAAAGGAACCCAGTGGAGCAGGACTGTATAAGGCAATCATTGTAATTAAGCTCACAGCTTTGTCCCTGAAAGAGAATTTTTAAAAAGCCAAATTTGAAGACAATTTGCATTTCATAGTCACATTAATTCAAAGTATTACCTTCTTTTGATTCTAAAACACGGTTTGTTAAAGCTATCCAAAATTTCAAAACCAAGTATAACCATCTGGAAAATGCCCCTTAAGTAATTTAATTGTATAGTTAAGTATTTTTTAATTTTAACTCAATGTTATTTTGCCTCTTACTCAGTATTAAGCGATTACAAATAAAAATATTTTCCCTCTCAGATTTGTAGTAGCAAGTATATTAACTGTGACATTGGCAGTACTAATAAAAAATGGTTAAAATAAATACAACCTCCAGATTAGATGGTAACACATAGTAATATAGATTTTTTTGCAAAGGGTTTAGCTAACAACTTATATTGTCCTTTGATTCTAAAATTGAAGTTTTCCTTTTTTTTTTTTTTTTGCCTGTTTCTGTCAAATCTTCACAGGGCACCTTGTTAACACATTAGATTAGATATGTAGATATCTTTTAGGAAAAAAGAATTTAAAAAAAAATAGTGTAAGTCTCAAATTTGACCTGGCACTGCCTTTTCAGCATGGTAACAATTCATGGGAAATCTGAAATACATTCCCACAATAAATGGAAACCGTTTTTTTTTTTTTCTCCAGCAAAACTTGTGTGAATTAAATGTACTCTCAGAGTGTGAATACACACTGAACCCAGACTGTGGCTCATTTTCTTTTCACTTGAGTTGTAATTAACTAAAGGGCCATGTGAAGAACTATCTTGGCCAAGCTAGAAGAATATTACAAATAGCAATTTCAAACACACACATCTTCATCCCAAAAAAGTCAAGGACACCTGATAGCTCCATGTACTAAGTTTGCTAATAAACTATGGAGGTTTTGAATAGGCTTGTTCATGATTTTATCATATTTTTTTCTAGGCCACATAATTTAACCACAGTTTGGCTCTTTTGCTGCCTCTTATCATCTGCTGCTATAGACAACTTTCAACAGAGATGACTTCTTTGAGGCCGATGAAATTATCAAGGACAACCCAAATCAGTAACCTTAATATCTCCCTGCCCTGCCTCCATTTATTTTAATGTGGGAGGAAGGGGACACAAAGATAAAAGATTCTTGAACGCTGGAGAAATCAAAACTTTGCTGCTTATGCCTAGCAAATCATGTATTTTGAAGCTGCCCATAAAAGGAATGGAAAGCTAACAGTGGTTGTTACTTGAAACTAAGCCATAGAATCGCAGAATCACTAGAGTTGGAAAAGACCTTCAAGATCATCAAGACCAACTGTAGGCCCTTCAACACCATGCCTGCTAAACCATGCCCCTCATCTACACGTTTCTGGAACACTGCCAGGGATGGTGACTCCACCACTTCCCTGGGCAGCCTGTTCCAATGCTTCACCACTCTTTCTGTGTAGAAATTCTTCTTAAGGTCTAACCTGAACCTCCCCCTGGCACAACTTTAGGCCATTTCCTCTTGTCCTATCGGTAGTTATTCTGGAGAAGAGATAAACCCCCGCCTCACTACAACCTTCTTTCAGGCAGTTGCAGAGAGCAATAAGGTTACTCCTGAGTCTCCTCCAAACTAAGCCAGCCCAGCTCCCCCAGCCGCTCCTCGTAAGGTCTGTGTTCCAGCCCCTTCATCAGCTTTGCTGCCCTCCTTTGGACCTGCTGCAGCAGCTCTACGTCCTTCTTGTAGTGAGTCCTTGAAACCTAGGTATCTTCTAGGTTATTTGATGAAAACAACAAGGTATAAATATCCCAGAGATAAACTGTTCATTTATCACTCATCTTTGTGTCCTTCCAGCTGTTTGATTTAATTTCTCTGAAACAAGCAACGGCAACAGGAAGACTAAGAGTGTAAATACCTGATACGTGATTGAAGAAAAGTAACACTGCAGTTTAGCCCTGCCTCTGATGCTTGATAATATCACAAAGACCTCAGGGTTTCTGATTATATGCTTGAACTAAGTAAGTGATGAGATTTAAACTATTGTACGTTTTTTAGTGAGCATGAAAATGCAATTTGTAAATTAAAGAATTAACAGTTTCAGAAAAAGCACTGCTTTAAACAAAAGCTATTGAATGTCATATTCCAGATAACTGAATCAAAACAGTGTACTGACAGACAGATTTTGTAGGTAGAAAATAGTTAATTTATACTTCAGATTTAGTTATGCTATCCAGTCAAAGAAAAAAAAAAACAGCATTAACCATTCAATAAAATCCACTGTCATTAAAAAAAAAAATTAGTTCTCTGCAACACTCTATCTGTATCTATGTTAGGAAACTGAATTTGCCTGGTATCATTTTGACACTGAGTACATGTTCATGCCTCTAACCTCTCATTCTCTTTAAACCAGGGCGACAATGCCCAATTACACACTGGAAAAGTGCCTGACCTCTGCTAATTTTTGAGCTGTGTCAGAAATTGTTTGTGCATATCAAAACCACACCAGGTCCATTAATAACACAGCTGAACACATTAACAACACAGCTATCCCTGTCTATACACCCACACCCAGCTATCTTCATTCATCACGCAGTGAGGCTCGGTGCCTGGAAATGTTCCTTCTCATTATGTCTGAGGCAGCTAGATGGTGCAGATGTTATCCAAAATTTATGGTAAACCTATGGCAGGAAGCCAGGGAAATTTCTAAATGACACCAGAGACTTTAGGCTTTAAGTTTCTGAACAGTAAAACAAAAGAGTCTCCATTGAGAATAATATGAGCATAGCTAATGATACACACATATCACAAAATCTTTCAACACATGTATTTTGTTTTTTTAAAACTTCTATGGTTTTGTTTGCACTTCAAATACTGAGGAAAGTGGTGTAAAATTAACATAATGTTTATAATCTGCTATCATAAATGTTTTAATATCACAAATGTTTTAATTATGTTCAAGTATTACTATGGTAGTGAGAAAAAATGAGATTTTCAGTGCAAATCACACTGATGCCTCAAATAAGCCTCTGATATCCTGTAAAGTATATGTCTCATATTTCATATCCAAGAGAGAAGAGTTCAAAATAAAGCTTCTACTGGAGCTGGGGCACATGTAAGAAATCTCTGTCTGATTAGCAGTTTTCAGGGGACTTGAAGCAACTTTCATATTTCTGAAATCTCTGACAACTCTATTAAATTTGTTTATGATGTCAGGGAGCAGCAGGCTATGCAAGAGAAAAAGAGAAGCAAAAGTGGGAACACAGAAACTGAAATTCAACAAGAATGATCACACAAGAGTTTGCTCAGGAAAAATGGGCTATGTATATATAATTTAAGACAGTTATAGCATATTAAAAATAATACATTACATTTACATTAAATGTGGCAATTAAAAACTTCAGGTAAACTGAGATGTGATTCTATATGTCTTACAGATCTCACAACAGTAAAACTAACAATGTTAACTTGTCAAAAATGTTCTTAGTGGTGTCACTGCAGATGACAAAAATGCAATTTTGCTCATCATTATGACATTATGATAGGAAACAGGAAAAAGGAAAAGGAGGAGGTTTTACCTATCTGTACCTTCATTAAATAAAGATTTTCAAAGTTTTGTGATATTTTGAAAAGAAAAAGATCAACAACAACCCTCCAAGACTACTAATTTGGTATTTCCAAAGGTGTTACACATACAAATTCTTTCCTAATATAGGACAGATATTAAATGGAATTGCTATAACTGCTGTAACATTACAGAGAATCTGAGTATCCTCCATATTATTTTAATTTGGAATATTTTATCTGTTACAGATATGTTTCTTCTTTGTTTTATTTTCTCTTATCATCGGAAGCCATTTGTATGGCAGGTAACCTTATCTAACTGTCCCGAGCATTACGGAGTATAAAGAAAGCAATCTAACCTTACGTCTTTTTTAGGGTTTCTTCAATTTCCTTTTCTTAAAACTAACAAACAAGCAAGAAAGTATTTGTATTAAAAGGCTAAGCACGACTTTTTAATATTATTTCCTTCCTTCTGGGGCAGAAGTCTAAAGTTGTATTAGTCTGCTGAAGCAAACAGTATACCTCTCATATGTTTATGAGATCATCCATGAGAAAGTTCTTATAAAACCAACCAAACAAGCAAGCAAACAAAAAACTCGCACACAGCACCCTAGAATGTGAAATCCTCCTAAGAGCTATAATAAATAAATTTTGGCAAGGCCTAATATTATTTTCCATCTAATGAAATACAAACTTTTAAACAAGTAGTTTAAATCAATGTTTTAAATGAAAGAGACCACTATGTTGGTTTTCTAAAGCATGAGAGAACAGCAGTCCAATCTGTATCTCAGGCTTCCAATGATAAAAGCATGTTTCCTTCTTTTCTTGTCTAATTCTACGTATAGCATAAATGATCAGCTAATTAAATGAATAAGATTTCTTTCTAATAATCTTTCCTAATGCCATAAAATTGTTTCATGCCAACCTCTCTTGGGACTAGTAAATTAGTGGGTTTTATTACAACTACATGTAATAAAGGCATAGGACTATGATTTTATAACTTATAGAAACAAAGCAGATGTGGATGATCTCCACTGTGCATGAAGGATACATTAAATAGGCAGGGACAAATTTTATAGTTTTCAAAGTGACAGTAAATGCTTTAGATAAGTGTTTTAACACTTTACATGCAGGAAGACCCTGCAGATTCGTATTTGAAAGTAGGTATTTTTCTACGGTTGTTTGCATTTTAAAAGTAAACATATATGACATATACCACTATCTATGCTCTCATTTTCAATGACAGAGAAACTCATGATCTGTACTTTATGATCCATACCTCAAACAGCACTACACAGACTACAGAAGATTTACTTATATATATTGCAGCTTATATATAACTACCTACTCTTGTGGGAATTTACCAGGCAGTTAGGCATTAAAACCAGCAGGGCCCCACCAAATCCATGTCTTAAGCTATTCAGGCCCTATCTGTCCGTAGTTTTCATACTGAAGAGACAGGTTTTACCTATTTTTCTGTTATTCCAGTTTTGTTTCTCTAATGTCTAAGCTTGAAATGAGTGATAGATCAATACATATGTTACATATGTACATATGTTAAAACACAAATGGAATTTGAAGTCTGAAAGAGACATTATATATACTCATACATATGTATATATGTATATATTTTGAGTAATAGGTAAATAGTTCTTTGCAATATTTTTTTTTTCAAAAGCAAAGAAAAAAAATCCACTAAAACACTTATGTGTCAGAAAGGCCAAGTTTTATCTGAATGAGGACAAAAAGAAGTTTCATACAGTATTTTCTGTGCAATGACGATTAATCAGGTTATGTGAAGGAGAAAAGGATTTGTCTTACCACAAATCCTGGCTTGCAAAAACAAGTATAACCAAAACTGGGTTCCCTCTGAACACAGATGCCATGTATGCAGGGACTGGATATGCACTCGTCCACATCTAGCTCACAGTGGAGGCCTTCCCATCCTGCCAGGAAGAAAGGAAAAAAAAATAAAAACAAACAGAATCTGGAATAAATAATTTATTAAGACCTTTAAGGAAATAGGAATGAAAGCTGAATGTACTCCTGCATTACCAAATTATCTGACCTTACAGCTTGCACTTGCCTACAGAACTATCTGTATTGTTTTCTCTCTCATGCACCAAAGAATTTGAACAGGTAAAACATTCCCAAATGTGAAATGAAAGACTACATAACGTAGTTATCTTTCTTTTGCCCTTTCTATGATCTTAGTCAAATTTATGTATTATTGACACACTGCAGAAGAAAACCTGGAGATTTCAATAGACGAAAATAATTAGCATAACAAAAAATCAGCTAGAGTCAAGAAGTTGAAAAGAGAAACTTTGAGACAGATTAGTGTACCAGATTACTCAGCAGGACAATTTCACAGCACGTGAAATTCCCTTAGACCTGAATAAATCTGAAAGTTAGAGGCCAGAACTCTATTTTTCATGGCCGGTCTTGAGTACTCACTCCTCAGAGACTGATCCAAACTGGTAGCAGCCTATTTGACTGTTAAAGTAAAGCCAAAACCAGAACATTGAAGAAAGCCCCACCCTCTGCCATGGTACTCCCATCATCAGCTGCAGCTGTGTCATTTCTCCAATTCAATTTTCAAAAAGGGACGACGGGATGGGATGGGAAGGTCCTCAGCTGATCCAAACCCAATCTCTGCCTCAAAGCATCCGTCAAAAACGGACGCATTGTTGGAAGTCTGGCCTGCCCCAGCAGGGCAAAGTCTTGAGCTGCGAAGCCACTACCAGTTCAGGCTGCTGCTGCTTCTCTCAAGCTCTCTGCAATGCCCCTTCCTGCTGCTTCTGCCCCTGAGCAGCCAGCAGCTGGGCCTACACATCCTGAACGTGCATCCCTTATCCTAAGTGTGCTGATCTGCTGCTGGGGCAGTAGCCAGCTAAATTTGTGATCCATTACAGAATGGATTTGCGCCAGAGCTAGACCAATTCCCCTTTCTGGTATCACATGCTCACATCACATGTTTCATATTGTTCTCTGGTGAGTTTTGCAGTGCTGAAATCATCTGGCCTCTCTTCTTACTTCTGTCTGGCCACTATCTCTCCTCCATTTCATTAAATTTTTACCTGGGATCTGTAGCAGAGTTTCTGCCTTGTGGTTTCCTTCCCATAACTGTCTTTACAGATTTAAAAAACACTCAATTCTATTTCCACACAGGGAGGTACAGGTTAGTAGAGGAATACAAGGCACCCTATGTATGAGTCATAGCCAGCAATAACAGTAGATTTATTCTAAGCATTTCTTCTTTGTGTCTCTGGAATAAATCTTTTAATCTTCTTCAGTAACGCAAGTTTTCAGAAAGCTATTCATTGCAAAGGATTCTCTGCCTCTCAAATTTCCCTTCTTTTCCAAGATGTAACCTTCTAATTTCCTCAGTTGTTTCAGATACCATATAATTCAACTAATTCCTGAAAACATTACACTAATTAAAGAAGGTATACAAGTGTCTTTACCTAGGGGAGCACTCATGTAGAGATCTCTAACCTCTCCATTATTAAATGCTGCTGCTAAATCAAAAAAAAAGTGCAGCTTACACTTGGGTTGGGAGGTGTCTAAATCATATTAGGTGCAGGTGTGAATTCTGAGGCCCCAGAGAAAGCTCATCCTGCTTACACTAAGCATTGCTGTACACAGCTGCACAGGAACAGAATTACAGTCCTTGGCTGGTAAGCAATTTTAAATTATCTATATTCAAATATACTCAAAGTATTAGTAGCTTTGAAAATAAGGAGAATTTTTTTTTAGACTTGACAGTCTATTCAGAGAGAGGCATTGTACTGATCAGAAAATACATCACACATCTGTATTTTGTATTAGCTAGAGTTTCCTGAGGAGAAGTACACTTTTGTCCAGGTAGGGTCTGCACTGTGTAACTGCGCTGAGAGGTCACAAAGACATAACTACTGACGACATAACTCAGTCATAACTCAGATTTTTAGACCAGAAGGGACCATTATAATTACGTATTTTAGCCCTTTGCATAGCAAAGTCCACAGATTTATCACACATCAAGAACAGTGACTTTCTGGATTATTAAGTATCTCTTAGACATTCAGTTTCATTACAAAAATTTAATATCTGAGCAAGTAAATTTGTAAAATTATTAAATCTTATTAAACCAGAGACAGATTGGATAATAGGTGCTTCCATTTCACTCATATATTTATTAACATTAAATAAAAAACTGAATAAACCATCCATATTGAGTCAGTTTATATCTAAATATAAGCATCTTGCATGCTTTTGAAAAAAATTGCCAGATTTCATAGTTCCGTAAGCTGCATTAGGGACACTTCAGAATAAAAAGATGATATGTAAAATAAAATCTGATTTTATTAATATTCACTCCATTTTGTGGTTTTTTTTTGTTTGTTTTTGTTGTTTTTGGTTTTTTTAAGGAAGAACAAACATGGAAGCAATTTGTGCAAAAAGGAGTGAGCAACATTATTTGGTGATCTGCTATTCACGAGAAAAGTTTTGCCTAATAAATTCATAAACGCCTGAGTCCAAAAGAGTGTAGCAAGACCAGCTGACTTGCTAATGGAAGTCCACAAGGTAAACCTGCCACAGAGGAGAAGCAGATCAGATGAAGATAGCATGAGTGAATAGAATCTTGCAGACTATCTCTAGATAACTTCTAAAATAATCGCTAAGAAATCCTGGAATATCCAAGAAAGTATTCAGTAAGTAAGTACAATATGAAGCAATAGTCTTTTAAACTTAAAAAAGTGTCAAATTCATGAGACACATATTAGGGTCACTCTTAAATTGAGTGAGTTATGGAGCAGTATGCTACAATGCACTTATGCATACCTTTTGATGCCAGCAAAACGTACTTTGTTAACAGTCATGAAAGGAGACAGTGAACAGTCCTGAGGAGATTAAATTTGTGGCTACGTGCCAGTAAAGACTGACTGTGACCTTTGCTTTTGCATTAATGCTAAAAAACACATACTTTACTAAGTCACAAAAGCTTTGAAACTTAGCTATGTGAGCACAAAAAAATGTCTCCCAGCTTTTTAGAAACTACTATTTGTAAGTTTTCAGAAAACTTCTCTTCATTCCATCTTGAGAACACAAATATCTAGTTTAAATGTTCAACGAATTGCATTTAGCCTATCTTATTCTGAAGGCAGTTATTCAGTGCCTGCTTGGTTGGTATCATAAAGATTAGTGAAGTACTCCACATTATTAAAGATAAATAACTCTAGATAATTTTCAGTGTCTTTTAATGAGCCCTTTTAAGTCTTCCTGAGATGTTTGTTAGATAGTTAATTTTTGTTAGGTTTCATTCAAATTATTGCCTCATCTGGAAACGTACAGAAAAGCAACTGTTTCCTGTCTTGTCTTCTTACAGACCTGGTCAATGGGACAGTTAACCTTTATTTTATGGTTTATACACAAATAAAGAGCATGCTATAACTTACCAATTTTCTCACTAGTAACACCAGTAAGTCAAAACAATCATTGTTTAAGATTATTCTGCCAGACATTGCTTACCTTGCTGACATTTACAAGTGTATCCATTGATATGATCTTCACAGGTTGAACCATGCAGACAAGGTGATGAATTACACTCATTAACTTCTATTTCACAAAACTGTCCAGAAAATCCGTCAAGGCACCTGAAGCAAACAACATCCCAAAGTGTTATATTATGTATAGCCCATCATGCAAACTACACCCCATGTAAAAACCATTCATATGATGTATGCACATCAACAAGACACAAACTCATATATCCCTTCTTCTTTTAAGAAGCATTTCACTGAAACATTTCCACAGGGACCTTCTGGAGGATTTATGATGACAAAACATGTCCACAAATTTCACATCTGAACTATAAAATCTGGCTCACACTTAACAGCCTTAAAGGCAGTTCGCTGGTTCTAGTAAAGTGAATAAATATGAACATTTCTTAATGCACTCTTACGAGAGAGTCTACTAAAAGAGAGTTTATTCGGCTAAGTAACTGCAGTCTATATTTGGAAAGCTACTTGCTGAAGATTCTGCACAAATAAATATAACTACAGCATAAAAAGACAACCTTCAGGAACTGTGCTTCAGCTACCATTCTAATTACCAAATATTAAGCATATTGAAAAACACTGTATATACTTTTTTGCTGATAAATCTTTTGTGATCATTAATACCAAATAGTTCCTTATGATTTCAACATGAACAACTGACCCAAACAGATTTGCAAGACCTCTAATGAAACCTAGAAACAGCATTAACCTCATTGCTGAGTATGAGAACGATGCCACATACTTGTACACATATGCACAGCTTTACATACAAACTCAGACAGCACAGCAGGGCTCCAAAATGGTATAATGACTACTAAAGTTTTGAGATGTGCTGTAGATGGATATATTTCACTTTAGCTGGTGTATTCAGAAGCTCCAGTCAGCAACTGGGTGGCACACATCTTACACCTCTTCTTGTCTCTAACAAAGTTTTATGCCCCTTAGAGGAAAGGGACTGCCCAAAGACAAACACATGACAAACTGACCTGTGAGTAAACAGGATAGTCATGTTGCCTACTGCCCAAGTATGAATACTGTACATTGTATGAGTACATAACCTGTCATTACAATGAAATATGAGCAAGGTTTACTTTAGTTTTCTAGAAAGATCCTAAGCTAAGAAAATAACAAGGAGGAACAATGTACTCTGTATATGTAATGTATTTGTATCTGTACCTATATATGTCTTGAAGAATAATCGCAGTATGTATAGGTAACTGTTTTATTTATGCTTTGATTGTATTTGTTTCACTTAAGATATAATACACTTGAGGAATATACCTAGAATCTACCTTTTGAATCTACCTAGATAACTACGGCAGAACAGATTTGCCAAAATCCATATCAACTGTGGAAGACATAGTGTTGGTATGTTGCTCGTAAAATGAAGCATACACTACTGTTTTGAAAATACCTAATTATAATGTGTGAGAGAGAAGCCATGGATGAGGATTCATAAGTGATGCATAAGACCACCTGTATTGCTCTCTGTCCACAAAACATTAAGCACAATCTATCAGAAAATATAGTTTGGACTTTCATCCTGTCAGCAAAGATGCAAAGCCTAGGATTTAGACCCAGGTTCTTCCCATCCAACTTCACATAGTAAACTCCATTAACCCTGGGATTCTCCTATGCTCAGTTGAATAGGGATGCAGAGGATGATCCTGCTCACTGAAAACATAAATCACTTTCTGTAGACACCTTTTATGTATAAATATATGTATAGACATATGTACGAACAAACAAAAAACAAAAAGCAACCTCTCCCAGATAGCAGAACAAGGACTAGAAGGATGAATAATAGAAATAAACAAACAAACAAACAAGACTACAGAAAGAGAATAATGGGACAGGTTAAAATATGTTTAACTTTCATTTTACATTTAGTGTGTCTGTAGGCCCCTTGCTTTGAAGAAAAAAAAATGACTACAACATAAATGGGAGGAAATACATACCTATTGTGTAAAAATTCTGGACAGAATAACTACAACTATGTGCATCTAAACTTAACTTTAGACATGCAAGTGAATATAAATACACATATGCATTTTTGGTAGTCATTTCTGTTGTTCTGAAAACATTCCAAGTATTTGCTGTATAGTACAACACAGAGTAATAATGGCATTAAAAAGGTGAAAAAGATATAAAAAAACCCTAGCATTACAGATTCAAATCTATGGGGAAAACATAAACCCACAAAAGCATTTAGATATCTAGCAAATCACATCCCACATGCATGAATATGCACAACGTAATGTTTTTCCTGTCATATAATTATTCAACAGAAAGAATACATAAGAATTTTGAAAAGATTTCTAGGCAATGAGGTGTTTTATTTTCTTGTTAATGGTGCAGTCACGCAGTGTTTCGTTTACTTGTGTCAAGATAGCATAATTAGACATAAATGATGCTTCATGAGTGTGGAGACAGGAACTCTATTACCTAAATGATTCTGACTGATTACGAAGAACTAGCAGTAAACATGTTGCTGGTGAGTGTTTGTAAGTCATAAAACAACACCATAATGTCAGCAGCTTTCTCAAATCACATTTTTAAGTCCAGTAAATTATATGTTTTCTAAAAGTGCTAATGAAGTTAACACTTGACCAGGAGTTGAATCATTTCTTAAAATTGTTGTTCTCCCACAGTTTTTCTTCATTCTTACTCCTCCTTTTTTATATCTTTGTATTTCTGTTCTGATTCCTCACCTTCCTTCTTCCCTTCTGTCATTTCTCTTTAAGCATTAGGCAGGGGGAAAAAAACAGAATTAAAAAAAGCCCAGACATTATCAAGTACGGGCAGATATACAAAACCATTCTTGAGATATAAACGTCATTTAACCTAAACCAAATTCTTTCAGGAAATGTTTGTATGTGGAGTCTGGGATATGACCACTTTGCAGATAAAAAATAGTGCTGTTAGGAAAGAAGGCCAAACTTGGTGGCCCGAGGGGACGAGGCTGCCACAGCTCTACGTGCCCAGGTCCAATGAGCAGCACGGCTGAGGTGTTCCTGACAGGCACCCACGCCAATACACATGTACCATACACGTATGTATTTGCAAACACGCACAAACACACATGGCCATCCACAGGGATCAGTTCAGAAAGACACACTCAGCACTCGCACAGACACCAACGGTGCCGACAGCCTCATCCTGTTCCCCTCTCAGGAGATCAGGAGAAAGGGGGAGACACACACATGTGAACGTGCAGCGTGGACCCCGCCAGCAGCTGGGCTTGGACACTCTGTGCACCCTGGAGCTGGGCCCTCCTTCCTGGTGTCCCAGCTGCTGCCACCTGCACACAGGATCCCTGAGGTCCACAGTCCTGCTGCAGCTGCAGGCACAGACCCCTCGCACACACACACAAAGCAGCTAATATTAATAAAAAGAAATTACATCTTTGTAAGTATCTGCATATTCATGTTTGGCAAGAAATATGTCAGATTTTATCTAATAAAGAAGGCTAGTTCAGTGTGAAAGCTGGGCTTTTAAACTCACAAAGATATCAACATAAGATCAATAGTTAAACACCGAAAGGTAGTGGGGAAAACGCTACTTGGTTTCTGTAAAAAATAAATCATTCAGAATCTAATTATGATCAGCTCATAGTAACAATCATGAAGATCTCTCTTTTTTCATCCTTCCTAGCTGTGCTAATATGGTGCAAATATAGTCTCTCTCATCAATTTTGCTTTTAACTGGAGTGTTCATCACAATTTGGGTATATGCCAATGCAACAGATGAACCTAAGACTCAAAAGATTTTATCAAATTGGATGGATTTGAAACAGAAGAATGTAACTTTAGTACTTTTAAACTGTGGTAAAGAACACAGACGGGAATAAGCATTTCCACAAAATGCTTAGCAGGGGATTAGTGTGCTGTAGAAGACAACAGCTCATTTTCAAAGACATGGCCAACTAGTTACTGCTGACTCTCCTATGTATTTCTAGAAACAGCTTTTTGGAGCTTTTAGCCTGAATCTGACATTAAGCACAAAGTGTGATGAAATGATACTTATGAAGTTTCAATCTTAAAAGTCTTTCCTTGTTCCCCATTAATCTCAGTTGGAGATGAAGCTTTATCAGGTACAATGAATGCAGGAGTTTATTAAGATAATGCTGAAGGTCATGTAGGAAACTAACAGGTGTTTGCTCTAGTTATAACAAGCACTGTTTTTAGCATGTACATGAAGCAGCACTGTAGAAAACAGAGGAAAGAGGAAATTTTCACAGGCATAAATGCCTGTAAGCTGCCCCTTAAACAAACATATACACAAATCAGAATCTGTGACTAGTTTCACCACCTATCCACTAAGACCTATTTTATATTTTAACTTCAGCTAAAGCCATCCAGGAAACTTGAAAGACAAACTGATCCTGAAGCACAGGGAGAACATCCAGGCAATTCCAAGCTGAGATTCCTAAATCAGAAGAAAATTCCATTGATCAGTATACAGATATTTCCTCTATATACTTGGCCTTTGGACTGGTTGATATAAGTAGAGAAAAGATAACTAATGAATGGGATGGTTTTGTCTGACAACAATTATTTTACTGAAAGCAAGTGCTGACTGGATGGGAAATTTGACAGAAAGCAAAAATATTAATACAGCAGGGCCTGGGTGGAACTAGTTATGGTCGGATGCTAGAGACTGGACAAGGAGCCAAGCTCAGCCAGGCCACTACAGCTTTCATGCTGATTCACTGCGGGTTGCTGGAAGCTGCTCTTCATTCTTGCCTCGCAGGCCATGTTTATTGGGCTCTGTGATACTGGGATTCAGCAAGAGTGGGGGAAATCCACTCACAGCCTTTTTGCTCCAAGCAACTCGGACATTTGAAGTGAGCAAGTGAAACGTTACTCAGGATCAGGGAAGAGACGCGAAGTGGGGTAGAGAACAGGCCCGTAAAGGACAAGGTATAAAAGCAATTTGCAAGCTTGAAGCTACAAGGCATTGCTACACGGTTCAGGTTAAAAGAAAGATGACTCATTCAGGATGAGGACTTAGCTGTCTAAGGTGCTGCCCATTAATATAAAAAGCATTGACCTTTTTGCCTAGGAAAGCTGTACTGAGACAGAGAGACAGCTGAG